ACTTATTTATTTAAGTCTTTTTAAAACTATTTTATGTTTTAAGGCTTTATAGTGTGTGTTCAGGTATTAGTCTTCCAATATTTCAATAACACTTCATTATCAAGTGATATTTTCAAATTTCCTGTCAACTTTAAACATTTTTTTAACTCAAACATACGATGGGCCGCTGGATGAATGACCCTGGCACCGGTAGTTAGGTGCCAGGGTCATTCATCCAGCCATGCACATTTCTCCTCTTTAAATATAACAAAAGCACATGCACAGACATTATGAAGTTCCTCCGCTTTTATCTTCTACTTTTTACTTTCCATCTTTTTTTTTTTTTTTTTTGCCTTCTACAAACCCACCCCCAACTCTGTTTATAGCTTTCGGCATCATTATCGCTTTGGCTCTTTATCGCTCCTTATTGGATTAGACCGGGGTCGTTCAGATGAACTGAGCCTGAGTAATATAAACAGCTGCAGCCAATACCCAGTGAGAGCTACCAATCCAAAGCCACCACTACATTATCAGGACAAGCACAGAAATATTATTTAAAAACACGTCGTGTGCAAAGCGGAGCTGCTGAATAAGATGGAAAAAAAAATAAAATAAAAAGTTTTCATTGCAGGCTAAATGTAACACAATAATTTTAAAGACGTAGACACATGCTTGAACACAAAAAAACTCTACCATGTACTAAACAATAAGAACACAGCAGGAAGACTCTCCAATGTCACTGAAAAAAAAGGGAAAAAACTTCAAAGCATGATCTCCATAAAATAATAGCATGACGGCAACAACAACAGCAACGGCAACATCCCTACAAAAAAAAATAAAAAAGAGGATTATAGGAAGTTCTGTACCTTCCGGGTTGCAGGAGTCTGTCTCATCATATTTGTAGGAGGAGAAAACACACACACACACGAGACAGTCACCAAGAAACACGCACAGAGGAAGGAGATAAAACAGGTAAAGATCTATGGAGAAAAAGAGTTCAGGACAGACAGGCTGGAAGCCGAACAATCAGGACAGGCAGCGGCTCAGGCTGGGAAGCTGCAGTGGAGCAAACGGCCGTGACGATTTTATTCCCAGGCTCCCCCCCACTCCCCGCCTCAGTTCGTCCCTTCCTCCCCGCTGTCGTCCTCCTTTATGTCCTCTTTCTCGGTTTCTCTCATAATCCGTTAGCCGGAGCCCTCGGTTGATGCCTCCTCCGTGCTCTCACCGCCACTGTCGCCCCGGCTACACAAGAGATGCTTCTGCCTCCCTTAACCTGCCCCGTCTCCTCTCCCTCCCCCTTCCTCACCCCTCCCGGATTGTGATTTGTCAGCCCGGACCGATGCCGCGCGCCTGCATTACATCACTGTGTGCCCTCCCTGCCTCCTCGCTGCTCACCCACTCATCACCACCCCGACCAGAGACAGACAGACAGGGAGGGAGGAAGGGAGGGATGGGTGAGGCAGAAACTGAGGACAGACAGAGGCTGAGAGACAGAGGAGGGCGGCACCGTGAATGGAAGTGTGGAGGTGGGGGGGTAAGGGGTGGTAAAAAATGAGCAGCAATGCTGATGCAAACCTCTCGTCTCCTAGCAACACTGGTAGGCCCTCCAATGGGATTATTAAAATAAGGTTCACAAAAACCACAGGGGATTGTTGGGGAGGGGGGGTTACACCTGATGGGCTGCATGTAGTCACTCCTGATTATTATTCACAAGACATTTCTGAATCTTCCTTAGATTATATATTTGAACATCATATTTTTAAAAAGGGCAAAAAAATCAACCTGTTGCTGGTAACAGAGTGTCTTGACAGGTGGTAAAATGAAAAAGGAAAAAAGGTCTGTCCACCTAAAGGTGTTTGCTTTCCGCACTAACTGGGTGTTGCAATGAGAAGCCTCGAACGTGAGCACCATCTTTTCACTTCTGTCTGCCTCTAAAACCAGACAGGACTTTTCTCTAACCTTTAAAAGTAAAACAAAATAAATAAAAACCTTCCTTACTTTTACCTTCAGACGGTTTGGTGACATTTAGCTTGTTACAGGCAGTTAGAAGCCTGTTGGTTTCCACACAATGTCGTCATTGTTGATTTTTAAAAATCATTTACCTAAAACATTACGAGCTTTATTATAATTGGAGTAATGGACAGGGTGGTGTGTAGCTGTATTCAGGATCAGATTCAAGTCTGGACTTTGGGCCAATCCCCCACATGAATATGCTTTGATCTAGACTTGGACAACATGTTCAATTGCAGTTTTCATCACAGCATCAGAGTGTGCCGAACTGCAACTACAAAGGACAAGATTTGGAAGGATACTGTATGTCAAGTGTTGTACAGTGATGATCTGCATAACACGTTTGACCAGTTGGATGGACCGTAAAGCCTTGTTTCCATTGAGTGGTACAGGATGGGCCAATCTGGTTAGGTACGTTACTTTGTCAAGTTGGGTGCATCTCCGTTGGGTGGTAAGTTCCTCCCTTTGTGGGTGTGAGTATGGGTAGGAACGTAAACGGGCCGTGAGCACACAGGAGCTGCGGTTGATACTCTGATGGTGTCATTTTGTACGTGTACCCGTGAGGAGCCAGTTTCTCCACAATATCTCTGTGTTAATGTTTGTTGCAGGTTGCCCCATCTGCAATTGCTAAAAGGTTTTGACCTCAAGGTTAGATTATAGAATTATCAATTTACAGCTCCCCAGATGCTACAGTCTTGTTGCGTATTCCATGGGCCAATTAATGAATCCAGTCTGGTCTCAAATCACTTACACTCATGTCTGGTTTGTACCACCTCTGTTTCTGAAAACTGGGTTGGAGTCATGAAGAACCAGCAAATGGAGGCTAATCTGGCTGAGGTTGTCTGGGGAAAATCTGGTTAATGCTCCCCCCATGGAGAAGGGACTACAGCGCATAGACTAAATACTGTACCGCTCAGTTGAAATGAGGCAAAACTGTCCTAAAGGCCACAACTGATGTACATTTTTGTGGTAGTATTGCATATTATTGAATGTGTATATTTTTCTGACATTGTGCATCCCTAGTTTGATCTAAGCCGTTCCATTGTAGCTTTGTCAGTAGGTTTTGATTTTTTGTCCAACTGGAAGCGGAACCAGTGCGACAGTCTCAAGTCTTTCTCAGTCTCAGGTTTTCTTCCAGCATTGCCCTTTATTTAGCACCATGCAACTGTACATTGTATATGACCAGCTTTTTTTTTTTTTTATCTCTGTTAAGGTTAAGCAGCATAAGAGTTTCTGACAGTGTGTGTAACATATTTGATTTGTGTTGCTCTATTCCATAAACTCCCAATAAGGTATATTGAGTTATGTGGTTAAGGTGAAAAGGGCAGGTCACCTGTACCTATTACCCCTACTTTCACCCCAGAACATGCAACGATTGTGGCAAAACAATCTAAATGGTCATTTGAGTCCTTAACAGCCAAAAGCGAGTTGAGTACCTACCATGATATCTCCCTCAGCTCCACTAATCTCCTCCTCTCTGCCAACATCTCAGCAGGAAGTTGGAGAGCAGTAAGAGGATTAATTTGGGGCCGATACCCTGATTAGCTGCAAGCTTTGAACCTAAAGCACTGTCAGAAAAAAAAACCAACCCAACTCTGTTTATGTGTATCATAACAGAGCAGTCGAGGGAAATCTGTTCGGTTTAAATATTTAACATCTTTCTCTGTAAGCCATTTGCTTTCTCTCCACTCTGTGATTCAAGAGATGCTCTCAGAGTGATGGAGTGAGAGGCTGGAGGGCAGAAAGGAGCGATGAGCTCAGCTGCAGATGTATCAGGTTCCTGCATCCCCAGGAAAGAAATGCCATATTACCCTAAGGTCACTTGGTGCAAAAGCGAGTTGAGGATAAAATTACCACCATAGAAGCATTAGCAACACTTTACCAAACACCCTCAGCTGGTATGGGGTGTGTATGTCCACAAGATACGCGTCTCCTTCCCTCATCTGTAAAAAGGATGCATACGTCCAGGACTGCCTTGTATGTTTCTGAAATGTCAGCTTTCCTCAGATTGAACAGTGGAGGTTCGTCGTTGGGCGATGGTAAAATTCAGCCTGCTGGATGCTGGAAATGATCGAATTCAGCAGGCCGGCAGAAAATCTATGCTCCGCAGGTCTCTGCAGGCAGGAGGGCGTCTCATTTCACCTCGGTCACACTCTGACATTTTCCGTTCGCTATGACGGAGGCGCGTCTGCGCGTAGGAGTCAGAGGACGACGGTTAACGAGCCACAGTGGATCTCACAGTGAGTCCAGAAAAAAATACAAATAAAGGATGTAATCAGATTTTTAAAACTGTAAAGTATGTTAAAGTAAATATTTCCAGTCCGTTATTCCTGGATCTGTCATTTTATTGAAGATATACATATCCTGATGGAGGACAAAAAAAAGCTGATCGGTGACTTTCCACTTTCCGCCTCCTACAGGACAATTTGTTCACATATGCAGCAAATGTCTCTAATTAGCCTCTTGCAGCACCAACATCCACTGAACTATTCACTTTCTAAAAGACTGAGCAACGATGCAGAACTGAATTGTTTCTGGTTCAGGAAATTTGTTACCATTGATTTTAAGTCCGTTTCTTTTTCTACAAAGAAACAAATAATACCACTGATACACTGAAGAACTCGGAGAGGATTCTGAAACTACCTCCAGCTCCCGATGCTACGGAAATCCTCATTTTAAAAAAAATCTGTGGACTGCACAAATGAAACAAAATAATGAAATAATAAAAATCCCACTATGTAGTCAGATGTGTTTTTAAAGGGGGAGAGTTATGTGTCTTCTAGGCATTTAATAACGCTTTATAGCTTTATTAAGTAAATATGTTAACTTTAGTTGTTGTAAAAATATTGCATATATAAAAAATGACATAAATTATACTTCATAATTTAACACCTTGAATTAATTTAACTTCCTGAAACTCCGCCTTCAGGAAGTCATCACAACATGGCCCGTCTATTAATCCTTTAAGTACGTTTTTACCAGCATTACACTGGTGTCATGAGCTCAGAAGATACACAGCTCCACCAAGTGTTTGCTCCTTCAGACTAGCCAGGACCAATTAGCAGGGTGGGGGATTCGAGGGAAAATGCTGCTCTGTGAAGCAGATGCTTGTAAACTGGAGCCCTGAGGAGGAGCTTCGTCCTCAAAGGTGGAGCTAGGTTCAACCAGGCGTTTTGCACAGCTGAATGGTTGCCATGGAGATTTAAGGTTTTCTCAAACATACATGAAAGAATCAAAGCAACACTCTAGGTGTGTTTTGAGGGATTAACATCATGACATGATGTAAAGCTCAAAAAAGTTGATTTTACACTCCTTTAACAATTAATAGAAAAAAGCTTTGGCCTTATTTTTTTAAATGACATTTTGTACATGTCATGATTAAATTCATAAACATTCCACATCATAAACATCCAATCAAATCAAACTGATTTCTCTCCAAAGAAATTTTTTTCAGCCCTCTATGAAATGAAATTCCGAACACAATATCCCCGCTGTGAAACATGGTGATGGCAGCATCATGCTGTGGGGGTGCTTTTCTTTTAGAACGCACAACACAAAGATAAAGAAACCTGAAAAAGGTTCACGAGAATGGCCTAGTCAAAGTCCAGCCAAACTTCAGACCTAAATTTAATCAGAAATTTGAGCCAAGAAATTTGCTTATGGTTGTAATGTGACAAAATGTGAGGAAGATTAAAGGATATGAATACGGTACATTGAACTTAACTTGATAATAATAATTTTATTAATTATTATTATCTTAAGTTTTTTTTTTTTTTTTTTTTTTTAAGAAAATAGATTTTCTAGTCTAGTAATGTCTTCCAGTTTACAGATCATACAAAAAACTGAGCTTTGCAAAACGTTTTCTATTCACTATGAATGAAAATACGCAAAAATAGTATATGAAAACTGTACAAATTTAAAATCAAACCTATACTACAAGGTCTGAAAATATTA